CTAAATGTCGACCTGTTTCTTTAACGTCACAACAAATGCACTACTTCCTCCTTGTGAAGAGTTAGCCACATCAGAGGTATGAAACATGGCGGAGTGATGGAGCCTGTGCAAAGGAAGCACTTATAAAAGTTAAGGGCGGATCTGAATAACTTTTTTTAATTGTATGATATGAAACAGAACACTACTTTCCATTAATTAAGTGTTGATTATATTCATAGTATCGGAAGATAAACTGTCACTACGTCCACCAACATGGCAGGTGTCCTCATGTGAAGCAGCGATACGCTTCAAGTAAAGCCTGGTCAACACTTCTTTACCCGACGTACTGAGAGCCAGTCTCTTCTGAAATGACTCTGGTCATTAGCAAACTGAGCTACACGCTAGCTGATATAACAGTGTGACTGTTTTCGGCTTAAACTGAAGTAATTACTCACCAATTATGATAATAACATCTTTAAGACTAATTTCATAGAAAACACACCCTTGCTTTTCAGGAATGTGAACCTTCACTCTTTGCTCTGATTCTTCTACGTTTCTGTTATTTCTTCCCTTTTGCTCTTCTCATCGCCACATCCGACCCCCGAACACCCCACAGACCGCCCCCTCCCCCAGAACGCCACCCCATCAGCCCTAATACACATCCCGACTAACAGTCACCTCAGGTTAATCAGTTCACACACACATACCAGCCTACCCCTAACGCACCCCACCCAGCACCTCTGGCTAATCACTTCAAAGGAAGATGCTATCAGCCCCAAAGCAAATCCCAGCCGAGATCCGGACCACTCCAATCTGACAAGCCAGACACACCGTTTAAATACCAAAACAAGTCACCTCCTGGCACATATAGAATCGTTTTCCACTCTGAGGCGAGGACACCAGCCTCTGATGAGCATTTCATCAGCAGTGAGATTTGAAGACGTTGTTCCAATTTCGAAGCTCAGAGACGCTGGAGTCGATGATTCGTCCGTTTGGCAGCGGTGCAATCAAAACCCAAAGTACTGAGAGACGTCACAATGCTGCATATTAGACTATTACGATGTTTAGCTTTTGATCAATCAGGAAGAAAGAGTCTAAAAGAAACCAGACTATGAGCAAAGAAAGCACAGATGAGCGGGAGGGACCGGCACACAGATCCCCCGGGGTTTTTCCTTAAACCTGCCACTCCCTTCGTCCCTCCATCCCACATGCTACAAACCAGGAACAACAAAGCACTGTTTGTTTGATCGATAAGTTCACAAGGCCTGGCTTTACTTGGAGTCCTTCCCAAAGTTTGACCTAAACAAAGCCTCTAATGCTCCTCGAGGTGACCATCCTCTTTCTAACACCGATCTGGAGTTCATGCATTATTTCTTTTACAAAGTATTGACATGAATTACAAACAAAACAGATCAAATGCTTTTAAGGGACACCAATTTTAGTTCTGCTGACTTGACATGAGCAGCACTACTCAGCCTGATGAAGCAGGTATATAACGCCTTCTTTGGCTCAGGAGGGCCTTTCCAAAGCCAAAACATAAGCCTGTCCATGTTGTGATATCATCAGGGTTTATATCTCAGGTTTAAATCTTCAGCTTGAGACTTAAAGTTCCTCTTAAGTCTTTGACTGAACTCCTAAAACTCACCTCTAGAAGTTGCTCCATGGAAATCATCTCTTTCTGCTCTAAGATGGCTTCGATCTAACCACGCACTGTTGCCTCCACTTTGCCCTTCCTGCTTGACTCCAGCTCAAGCACACCAGCTCACCTACAACTCTACGCTGCACAGGGGCAAGTTGTAACGTTGGAGTAATTCAGGCACATGTTTCAACCAGGAATCAGAAAGCTCCACCCTGCAAACTGACAGGATTGGCTCTTCAGGTTTGTAAGTCTGAATCTGTGTTCTCTTGACTTCCATCAGCCACGGCACTGACTGCTTATTTTCTGGTCACGATACATCTTCCAGCATATTAAAACATACAAACCTTGATTTTCAACACAGGGGGTCCAAAATTTTAGGTGAAAGCCAGTACTATAGACCGGAGAGGCCTTTAGCAGGCAGGGAGGGTCTGATGCAAGATGCTGCTGAGTTGTGCGACAAAATGAAGGTTTGTGTGTTCACACTGGAGCCAAAGAATGAGGATTTCTCAGCCTGTTCTACTTTAATCCTGACCTGTCTTCTACAGCAGTCCGTCACTCTCACAGAAGTGACGTAGTAAAGTGGTGGAGTAACCCTTTAACAACCCAACAGCTGACAGAGTCGATTCGTCACGCCCCGATTCATGGAAAATTTTTAACAATAAGGTTGTAATAAATGGTGTAAAAATAGAACTTCGCTTTCAAAGAACTCCTGTGTTCACTATAGCGAGGTCCACCTTACACGACTCTTCCCAAGGAAATTCAGAGGAAATGATGAAAGTGTAAACTAAAGCTGCTCCAGAGGTGTGGCTCAGCAGCACGGTGAGGGAAGCTGAACTGTGCAGGGAGAGGAAAGGTTTTTCTATGTGTTCTGTTGGCTGATCGGCTGCCATTTATCATTAGAGCAACAGTTTTAGCTGCCATTGAGTCAAAACGTGTACTTGTTCACAGACAGGTATAATCTGCTAATTCTCTGACAGACTTTCTGAAGGTTTGTTCAGTGAGACAATGTTAGAAAAACATCACACTTTGACACCAGAACTTGCCTGGAAAACATCACAATTTGGACTTTTCTTTAGTTTGAAAGATGACAAAAAAAAAAAACAGTTCCAAGTCGTGGCCCACGGCTAAATAATCGACTCCATACCAGCCTTATACTTCCTGTTGACATCCTCCAAAAGCCCCAAAATCATGGGAGCTGCATTTTCAAATCTTAGAGGACAACAATAGGAGTTAAACAAGTCTGAATGATCACCGGCTGACAAACAAGGAGGGTGGAGGCATGTTGCTGTCTACCTGTGTGTGAACTGGAGGAGGGGATAACGAGTCGGTAGGGCGGGGGGCCCTTTGATGACCCTTAAAGATGACCCCTGACCTCTTGAAAAGGTTAAGAGGCAGATTAGGAGGGGAAGGGGGATTACAAATAGACCCCCCACCCCAGGCTGATTACAAGTGATGCACAACCTCCAGGAATTTGGGGCTGAGTGTCTCTCAAGAGCCAGAACATGCCAGTGAGGGACATGGGGGCTGTTACATGGCGGACACTGGACTTATCAGCGTCCATTCCTGAAGCCACCTTACCTTGTTGGAAGACCCAGTGGTTCGAGTTTGCTCCTCGTAAGCTGCAACGTTCTCCCATGTTGCCACGACAGCGTGTGTGGGTGTGAACTTTGCATCTGGGAACCCCCGATGGACTTCCTGGATGAGCAGATGAATGAATGAATGAATGTGGGAGGGGGGGAAAAAAAAGGAAGGACTGAACTAATGGATGAGAGACTGGAGGAAGGAAGAACCCAGTTAAGATTGGTTCATGAGGTATTGTTCTCTACATTACACTCTTATCTGTAACCGACCTGGGCGACTCTGTTGAGCACGCTGGGTGTTTCCGTCACCCGGTAGTAAATCTGCCCTCGCCCGCCGCTGGTGTCGATGTCGGCTAGGAACGGGGCGACCACGGGGAAATCCGTAGGGAAGCCATCGTCAACGTACTGCTTTTCCATCGGCAGGTCCTGGGCCGATATGATCCCATTGGTGGCCACCTAGAGCGAGAGACCGGCTTGTTACAGAATACCTGGAGCACCGTCATGAACCCAGGGAACCTCCTAATGAACCGTCATAAACCACTGGAACCCCAGCATGGACCCCAGGAACCGCATAATGAACCTCTACATTCCCCTCATAAACCACTGGAACCTCCTCAAGGGCCCCCTGTCTGGTCCATGATTATGCTTTGGAGACATCAAACCACATAGAGCTGGCTTTGCTTTGGATGTGTTCTGCTGGGATGTCTGGCTATATTAGGTGTCACACAAAGACACACTTAGCAGCTCATATCTGGGACTTAAACAGAGGTGATCAGCTTTGGAAGGCAACCAGACACATGTAGTAATAATAGAGTGTTTGTGTAGTTTACTGCTCTGCTCCATATATCCACAACACCTCATTAACAGCTTCTTTACGTGTGTTTTCATTTAAAACTGTATGATGAGTTTACACATTAAACAGCCAAATCCTACATAAAACGTACGTATTATTGCTTTTAAAGCTTTTGAATGCATGAACTTTACCTGGTTAGTGTTGTCAAAGCTTCTTCTGTCACTGCCAACACTTAAACATGGCTTACATGTTAATATTTTAAAAGCATTGATTCAGTTATAATAATTGGAATGTGTTTGGATATGTTACCTAATTTCAAATAGTAACACCAGTGGTCGACCGATTGGGTTTTTCACTCAACTTATTTTCAATTTAAACTCCACAGGTGATCAAAAACACCAAACTTTGTTTAAAAAAATAAAATAAAATAGCAACAGCATTTATCAGCATCTCTCTGTAATTCCATGCAGCTGTTAAAAGATTTATCTCAGTTCATCTAAAACTCTCGACTGACTTTGAACCTTAGCGTACACTCGCTCTGCTCAGGCACCTGTTTTGTAAAGCCTTCCTGCTAATTTTAGACCTAAAGTCTCCTTAAAATGCTATTTAAGGACTGCTGACATTTTTCTATCACGAAGCGATGGCCGTGTACAAACAGCTCTGTTAAAAAATGTAAATAAAAAGTTTAAGACTCCCACATTACTGGATTATAAACATGGACGCTTTGACAGTGAAGATGCTGGTGTGTGAACGGGTGGATGAGAAACAAAGCAGTCTGCAGAACTGAACAAGGCAGCTGGTCCAAATCTGTTGTTGCCTTTTAGCTAAAGCACAACAGAAAGATCTTGTGCATGACCTCAGCATGAGGACAGAGCTGATATGTGAGCTGAACACTGTTCTGTTAACTGGCACCTACATGACAGTGCTGCTCATGTTGGATTCTGAATGCACCACTTCTACTGCTGCAACATCAACAACTTTTTTTGCACTTTTAAAAAAGTAAATATCAAATTTAAGACTTTAACACTGATATTTCTCTTTTATTTCTCCAATAAACAGCCCAGAAGTTACTCTTTTCCAGCGCATACTGATTAATAACGAGCCTCCCGCTAAGTTTTGACATGTGAGTATCTGGAAATTGATCTTGTTTGTTAACGCACACAGGGAGGATTTACATCTGAGCATTTGGAGCGCAGAATGTTGAAACCTTTTGCAAACACAACTGGAATAATGTGCGGTCCCTTCACTGGAAAAAAAAAAAAGAGACAGATGCTGATGAACCGAGTGGCCTCTCTTGTCCTGACTTTCCCCCATTCAAGCTGAGATCTGCTCTGCGACCAGCTGCACGGATCACCTGTCAGCCCGGCGGTGGAGGGATACTTACATAGAGCTGCGAGAACAGGGAGTCGTAGAAGTACAGAGGTTTGGGCAGAGACAGGACTCTGGACGTCTCATCGTCGCCCTCAGCCAGAATGAAGTCCCCGCTCAGGGAGCCGTACGGGAACATCTCGGCCCTCTGGATGGCGGTCACCACGCTCACGGTGCAGCTCCAGCAGAGCACACACGCAGCCAGCATCGGGCCTCTGTGCATTGTAGAGCTGGAGGAACGGACGGAGGTGCAGCTGGACTGAGAGGCAGCAGAAAGAAGGAGAGACTCAGCGCGGCTCCGCTCTCAGTCCCAGTGTGCAGGACGGCCGGCGGAGGGAGGGAGGAGAGCAGCCGCGCTCTGATTGGTGGGAGGCGGCCTGAGTGACAGCGGCCCGGTGCTGGAGGTAACATCTGGCTCCTATTAGACACAAGACAAATAGAGCATTTTAATCCGGATGTAACTGTATCTGTTTCACAACACTGACAAAGACGCAGGGTGTCTTTTTTTTTTTTTTTTGGAAACAGCCTCTCTCACACTTACACACGGAGGAAAAAACTTTTAATTCTTTAATAGTTTGAATGAAACATCCTCTATAGAGACAGAATATTAGAACAACTTAATATCACTTAAAGGGAACAGATTTTAATCAATTATCCTCGAAACTCACTAAAAGCGTCCAAACATTTTTATTGATAAGACTTTATCCTTTTCTCTTTAAAAAAAAAAAAATCAACCAATCACTGTGTACATCTAGACAGTGTTTTCAAATCTCATTTTTATTTTTCAGTAAATCATCCATTCATTGAAAACCATGAATGAAATCCTAAAATGTTTAACCTCGTGTGCCCCCTGGTGTCTGCAGCGACGTACTGCAGCATTTAGTCACATTCATTTCACCCTCCTGTTATCTTTGGGTTCAATTTGACTCCCTTCAGTGTTTAACATCTCTTTTTTCAGTTTTATTTAAAGGACTATTCACACATAAACGTGGCTAACAGTTTTGATTATGATATTTTTTTGGGGTCAGATTAAACCCAAGGATAAAAGATGTTAATTTGAAGGAGGGTTAAAAAACTGTAGTAAAAATATGAATCACAGTCTTTATTAATAGAACACTTTCCAATCACACAGAACAGCATCTTTAAAAAACACAAATAAAACCATTAGATCTTAAATAAGTTCAAACCAATCCAGAAAGCAGAATTAGGAAAGTTGTTTTCAAAAGAAATCTAGTGTTTAACCACGTTAACGTGTCCATGTGGTGTTTTTAATGTGCTGGAAGACACATAATGAGCAAAACAGGAGTTTAACTCCATGGTTGAGCAGGACTGATAACATAGTGGGAGAGCTGGTGTGCTCGAGCAGAAGCAAAAGGGGAGCGATGGGTGAAGAGAGAGGCAGGCACTTCATGGATTTGCAGCACTGGTGTACAGTTACAGGCTTTGCATAGAGCTGGTGTTACACTCTCCAAAGGTCTGCTAGAGTCAATGTCATGTGCATGTTGTCAGCTGCACTACAAGGACAACACACTCAGCAGCAGCGTCCATACGTGGAATATATAGATTTGACCTACAGCACATGTATGGAGCCGAGTCCTCCCAGCAGACTAGAAAACAGCAGAGCTGCACATGTCTGCAGCTGTCAGAGTCTTCAAGGACGTACAGACGTAGTTGTTACTTTCTACTCCGCTTAGAAGACTCAGTTGCTGTCGGTCAGGATCTACGTATTCAGCACAGTCACACAAATCCTGGGCGGTCTGAGACAGAAAACACAAAAACCCTCTAAACATGCACATTTGATAAACAGAAATTACTTTCAGGGCCTGAATCAACAACTGGAGAGGAACTGTGAAAGACGGATTATTATTTAGTATACGATTAATCTTTGTAGTCCTTTTTCAACAATCACAGCTTTTTAAATTGGATTATTTGCTCCTTTTCTCTGTTTGGACAAAGTTTTATACAATGAAGGTCAGTTTTATTTTTAACACCCACATCATACAGATGTGAGCGTCCACTACTGAGTAACGTCCAAGTGCTGCCAAGACAGGAAGGACTTTCAACATGACCTCTTGTCCAGAGGAAGATCTAGAGAGGATGAACCACAGTTGCTCAGAACGAGGTGAGGCTGCTGGGGGATGAAGATCCAGGACATCTGGAGTGAAGCACTGACAGCCACAGGGAGAGACAGATCCCAGGACGAGCCCCGGTCCAGCTCAGAAAGTCCTGGAACTGAAGAGAGAAAATGCTGCTTGACTGCAGCTCTGTTTGAGATGAAGTGCTGAATATGATGTCTGCTGCTTTACAGGGTTCACGTCCACATTTAATGAACTCTGTAAAACTTCACACACATCAGACAGGACTGCAGACAGTGATCCTAAATTACAGTTTCATATTCTTAAGTGGCCACGTCAGTCTCCTGCCCCCTGTCCAGCTGAGCATGGCTTTCATTTGCTGAAGCCCAGACTGAGGGCATAAAAGCCCACATGGCAGCAGTATGAGCCTGACAGAGCAATAAATCACCGCTTTGTCATTTAATTAGGAAATGCATACTATCTGCAAATATAACTGGACTCATAATCAACACTGTATGCAAATAATGTACAATACGGGAAGAATTCAAACACCTCTGCTTCCTGGTTTTGATTTTAATACAACCACATTTTCAAATAAGCTATACTGAGAAAGTGGATTTGAGTAATTATTTTTTTTATTTCTACCTGGCTGATGTTAGCGAGCTCAGACTGGACGGGGAGCATCTGTCAAACAGCCATCTTTTCTCTTGACAGATGTTCTCTGGACATCAGGCCTCAGTCTGAAGCTGTGTTTATACACAACTAAACTGTGTACTCAGTTTTGTTCTGAGGGAGTTTCTTCCTGGGTTGCACTTGTCTGTAACATATTACAACGTCTCTAATCGACACCTCATTGTCGTTTATTTTATTTATTGCTTTACTGTTGCTCTCTTTCATCCAGCCAATCCTATACAAGATGGGGCAGGATGTGTCTCCCTGGTAACCCAAAACGTCTGCAGCTGTCTGCATCAGTGAGGAGTTTAGTCAAGGCTTAATGCGACTGAGAAGCATCGCCGACGCATGATGTTGCCACCACCGTGTTTCACTATGAGGATGGTAGTGGTCAGTTCCAGGGGAGACAGGATTATTCAATGATTGCACTGTGCGCTCTTTACAGCATTCACAGCTATAGAAGCAGTTTGATATGCGTCAAGCACATTTGGTACAAGTGGATTCAAGGAAGTTACAGAGAGTTCAAAGATAATGAAAGCAGCCGCATTGCACCTGAGCTCAGTTTAACAGCAAAGTGCTTTGTCTTGTTTTTTATTATAGCTTTTTGTGATAAAAATTATTTGCCAAAAAGTAAAATTAAATCCACCATAACAGCACAATAAAAGCATGCAGACCATAAAGGGGGAGAAACAAGGGATACTTCCACTGTAGGAATCTGAAAGAGCAAGATTTCAGTTCATTATTGTTTACACAGTTATAAGACATGGCTTGCACTTACCCAAAGGGACCTACAGGTGGCGGCAAAGGCCAGGCTGAAAATACAAACAACAGAGCATAACAATGAAAATGTATGCTGTTCGCTTGATGTGTGTAAACCCTACTTTACGTGCAGTTTGTCTGTGTGCAGAGATATCTTTAAACCTGCTGTCTGATATGAACAAGTACAGTCGTATTCAGCCTCATCACGTGTTTACATCTGGATGCCTGAGCTCTCAACCAGCTGTGGAACGTAAACATCCACACAAAGACACAACAGTAGTTTGTAAAGTTTTATCACTGTCATCTAATCTGATCCGTTTCATCCCCAGTGATGTTTGTATTTTAATATTCCAGTGTGTGATTACAGGACGCTGGCTGCTCAGGCTTCTGCTGTGACATCTGATCTTCACCAAAATCAATGAACTCATCAATGATTCAGACGAGGACCATTAGCAGGCTGGACCGACCACACACACACACACACACACACACACACACACACACACACACTTCGTTGACAGCTGCGGGACTCGGTGTGTGTTTGTGTGTGAAAGAGACTAACAATACATACAGCACTTGTCAGCACTTTAACTGAGCTAATCTCTCAACAAAGACTGTTTACCAGCACAGCACAGAGCTCGTGGACCAGGACCTTGATCAATAATTGATTGGCTTCTAAATAAAGAGCACAGACAGACAAGGAGGATCCATACTTAATAATCCATAAACTGGATCGATATCGACTCAAGGGAGATTTCTTAATGGGGGTATTTTTAGCTGTTTGTTTGCGACAATCTGACAGTTTGTCTGGTTCTGTTTTGGATGTTTAGCTGACACATCCATCCATCATCTATCTACACACTGCTTAATCCTCATTAGGGGCGTGGGGGGCTGGAGGCAGCTGACTCAGGGTGAAGGCAGGGGACACCTGGACATTCACACCTACGGACAATTTTAGAATCACCAATTAACCTCAACATGTTTCTGGACTGCGGGAGGAAGTCGGAGAACCCGGAGAGAACCCACTAACCGGGATCTTCTGGCTGCGAGGCGACAGTGCTAACCCCTGAGCCACCTTGCAGCCCCATCTGGAACATTTCTGATTAAATAATACGCGGTAGTAGTTGTATAATCTACAATAAAATCACTGGATAAAGCTAGACAGCCACTCAGAGACGGGGCCATCCTCTGCCCACACCAATGCTCTGTTGCAGTTTAACAAAAGCAGTCCAAAATGTCAAGGCTTGTTCCCGTGCTCATGCTCCACCGTCACATAAAGGTTCATGAAATTTGGTTGAGTGAGACACATGGCACCATCACATACCACATTTTCCTCTGCCTTAGCCCTCGTCTCAACGCAGCAACAATCAGCTGAAAGAAAAGATAATGAAAGAAAAGAAAGCAAAGGAAGGGAAAGGATAAAGGACAGAGAGAGAATGAAATCAGAAGAAAATACAGGAAAGCGAAGCGAAAGAGAGGAAAGAAAACAATGAAAGAACAGCAAAGTAAATGGAAAAAAACGCAAAAAAGGACAAAAATATTCTCACAAAAAGAGGTGAGGGAGGAAATAGAAAGGGAACAAAAGGAAACAAGTGGAAAGGAAGGAAAGGAAAGGTATTCAGGTGTCAGAGGACAGAGTCACAGAGGCCTGGGCTCAGAGAGCAAACAAATATAGAACAAGGGGAAAAGGAGACAGAGGGACACTGACATGCAAAAGGAAAGAGAGACGAGACAAAGAGAGGAGACAAAGTTAGAAACAGGTAGAGAGGCATGAAGGAGGGCTGAGGAGGATTCCTGTGTCTGATGACTGCTGTCGGTCTTTAAATAACCGTCAGAGCTGGTGCTGTACACAACGCTGGGACTGTTCATCAGATCACTGGCAATAATTTGGCTTAAGGCGACAAATGCAGGATGAGCAGAAAGAGACTTCAGGGCAGAAAACAACAGGAGACGGGAAGAGAGGACAAAGTGATGGCATAATAGCAATATGTCTCAATTAGGGACACGTTAATGGACTCGAATAAAAGCTCTCGAGTGCTCTCGTCATTTCAGGGCTTTCAGTATACATCACGGCCCATTTCAGGATCCTGTTTGACATTAGTCCTGTTCCTAAAATGGGCAAAATGATGTAATGAGAATAACACTTTAATGCTTTGTGGAGCTTTTAAAATCAGTTTTGCTAAAGATAGGCAGATGATGCACTTGATCGGGATCACTTTGCTGCGAAAAAATCTTCTCTAGCCACCTCAGAAAATGAAGCACGCCTGGCACAAGCTGGAAAAAAAAGAAAATGATGTAAATGTAAAAACTGGGCGTTTATAAATCACTTGTTGATTCATCCATTTCCGTCTGAGGGTCACAGGATGGAGACATGCCCCTGGTTACATCATAAGGGACAACACAGAAAGAACAACATATACTCATATTCATCCCGCTGGGAAATCACAGCCTCAAATCCATGAGACTGTGGGAGGAAACCCGAGAGAACAACGTGCAGTCTCCACATTCAAGACACATGCAGGAAACCAAACACACGTCTCTCATGCTGCATATTGGATCCCGCTTACACACTCTGAATGTTTTCTATGACAAATGAAGGCAGCGTACATGCTAGCACATACTCAGGGCTTGTTTATTTAGCAAAACAGCGCTTTGGGGACTCCAACTGGATCGTATATTTTACTTTCAACATAAGGAAACTGGCTTCCTTTTCCAGCACACTGCAGCTGCTAACAGGTGAAGCATCTAAATGGCGTTACTATGAAAACACATCTGGATTACTGTGTAAAACAATTACTTGACATTAGCACTAGAATGATAACTGGTTTAAATAGTGCTGGTTCATATGCTATATTGTCATGAGCTATATTCATGATTCCATCACAGACTCTGGGAACTCGATCTCTCCCTATTATCTGGCATTCTAGTCAAAATGATTATTTCACACAAAACAATCGAAACATTAACCTTCTGAACCCAAAACCTGAAGTCAAGTCTGGACGCCATCCATCCATCATCTCTACACCTTAATCCTCAGTAGGGTCGTGGGGGGGCTGGAGTCTATCCCAGCTGACTCAGGGTGAAAGCAGGTTCACCTGGACAGGTAACCAGTCTATCACAGGGCTACACTTAGAGACAGACAACCAAGCACACTCACATTCACACCTACGGACAATTTACAATCACCAATTAACCTCAGCATGTTTCTGGACTGTGGGAGGAAGCCGGAGAACCCGGAGAGAACCCACGCTGCACGGGGAGAACATGGAGACTCCACGCAGAGAGATCCTGGGTGTCCTCACCGGGACGCGAACCAGCGACCTTCTTGCAGCGAGGCAATGGTGCTAACCACTGACCCACCTTGCAGCCCTACTTTATATCACAGTAAAAATAAAAAGCACACCATGATTAAAAATGTGACTGGAGCATAACAACTCCCAGAGAGGCTCAGAGTTCAAAGGCTTGATGGCACTAAAACCGAACATTGTGTTACTTTATGTTATAGTAGGACAAGACTTTCAGTGACGTGAAAATGTTTTGTGATGCATAATGGCACAATACGCCTTCACTTCAGCTAAATTTCTTTTTTTTTTAAGTGCTTTAATGTTTTGTTCGACTTGGTGGCATCATGTCTCTCCAGCGTGCATGAAGCGGTTCAGGCTGCAGCTCGAGGCCCTGCAGCGGACCCTGAGCCGCAGCCTCCAGCTCCTGAGCGGTGGGCGTGGCCGTGTGACGTCAGAGCATCAGTGCGCACCCGCTCCATTCATGTCTGGCCCCTCAGAGCGCCGCGCGCCTCGCCTCGCCAACAGCAGCTCAACCCGGAGCGGCTCCGTGACTGAAACACGACAAACTGGGATTTATTTCTCTACGAACCGACTCCGGCCGGACACTGGACTACACTGTGCGGGAAGCAGCTCGTGACACAGGTGAGAACTCCTCTGTGTGGATGCGTTTCAGCACCGTGAGCTCCACGCGGATGTCACAGCGGCTGCCTCGCGCTGTTCTCTCACTCGGAGCGACTTTCGGTAAAACTCCTCTCAGGTCGTGATGTTGGGAAATTTCCTTGCCAACTGAAAAAAAACAAACCAGTCATGTTGTCAGAGCTCTGGCTGTAGTCATCCTGAGAGTTTGTAGTCTTCAGTTTTATTCATATTCATAGACTGTGTGCGTCTATTTTTCCAATTCAAGTCCAATTTTGAAGCTTGTGACTCGGTTTGTTGTTTATCTCTGTGAGCACGTTGCTGAAGTCTATTCAAATTTACCGCAGATCTGGTCTCAATAGACGTTTATATCTCACACCATGTGAGGAAAACCTAATTTGTCCCACTTTTAAGTCATCAAATTAAATTTCTCTGTATTTGTAGTTGTGCTGAATTATCCCGCAGCTAAACCGAACGACTTATATATTAGAGCTGCAAGGATTCATTAAATCATTGATCACTCGCCAACTATTTTGATAATCAGTTGGCATATTTATTTTAAATTCTGTGATTCCAGCCTCTTCCAGGTGAATGTTTTCTGTTTTCTTTCGTCCTTTGTGGCAGTAAACTAAATATTTTGGACAAATTGTGGACAAAACAAAACATGTGTCATCTAGGAAACATGGATCCACACTGTGAGACATTTTATAGACCAAACAACTGAGCATGAGTTGCAGCATTAACACACATGGACTGTTTTTGTGTCTCTTTTGGCCGATTCAGGGACGTCCGAAGTCCTGAACTCCAGCAGGCGTCACCGGAGTGGACAGAGCAAGTGAGTCAGTTCTTTGGTCATTACGCACCAGTGAAAGTGCAGACACACGTGTGCACACGGTCATGCCAGTGGAACAGATGTGTAACATTATTCAGGCTGAGACTGAACAGCTTGAAAACATTCACAGACCAAGTGGAGCTTCCATGTTTCTCTGAGCGAGGCGACAGCTGCGCAGGCGGACTGACAGTCAAACAAGATGATCGGCACGCAGCGTTTTGTTTTCCTGATTCAGCGCAACTAAGAATTTGAGGAAAAAATAGTGTTTCCTTGTGATATGTGTGAGAACTCGGACAGCTGTTCCTGAACCTTCCGCCTGTCAGCTGATATCTGTTAACTGGGGAGACAGAAGAGGAACAAGTTTAGGTTTCACAACTCCAAACTTTACACTGGAGCAAGAGTTCAAGCTCTGGAATTTTACAGAATAAGCAAAATGTTTTTTCCTTTTTATGAGAAAAGCAAAAAAAGTTCTTCCCTTACAGTATGCATAGGATCAGCAAAAGGCTTGTGAACATCAGATGAGAGCGGTGTGTCTGGTCGGTACTGCTGACATTCTGTCAAAACAGTCAAGGGACACGTAAACATAACCCACTAATGACGGTGCATCTCCTCGGGCCCGTGAGCGGACGGTGAACGAATTAAAGCGGTGCTGAAAATGCAGGAACGTAGCGCTCACATACAGCATTCCTTAAGATTCGGTCAGCATAAATTTGCGTAGCAGCCAAGGTTTTGTTTTTGATGAACGGATGGAATGTAGTGAATTCATAACCCCCCTCTGGTGTCACAGCAAGCCTTAAAGACAACAGAGCAGCTCTGGAGGGGTTCAGGTCTACAAAAACACAAATCATCTGCCTTTGGCGCCCTTCTGCTTGTCATGGATCCTGACACTTTACTGCATTTGAAAGAAGTAACGTTAAACTGTGTCCACCTGCAGTGGAATGAAATAGTAATAATGGTGGTTTTATTCAATCTGCGGGTAAAGTTGAGTTGCCCTCGAGTAAAAGGTAAAACCTGAACTCTTGACCCTTCTGTTATACATTAGGGGGCATTTTGCTGGCGTTTAGTCCACCTGGTCCCTTAAAGAGACTCAAATCAGTACAATGTTGTTCTAAGTAGATCCTGATGGGAGTGGTCTCTCCAGGATGATCATGCTCCCCTCCATACAGCACAGGACTCACTGAAGATGATGTGAATCATGTGCTATGGCCTTCAGTCACCAGATCTGAACCCCTATCAGAACACCTATGGGAGATTCTGGACTGATGTGTTATACAGCACTCTCCACCACCACCATCATCACCAAAACACCAAGGCTGGGAACATGTTCTGGAAGAGTGGGGTTCAACAGACTTGGAGAATCGAAGCTGTTCTGGCCCGACACCTTACTGAGACACGTTCTGCTGATTTGTCCTTTAATTTGTCATCTGTCTGTAAATGTTGGTTCATTTTCTACCAGCTGATGAAGCAACAATCAACTAACTGTCTAATTCTCAAATATTTGTCCTTCTTTCCTTTTAACAGGATGGCTGAAGTGAACTACTTATGGACACACTGTTAACACTGCTTTTGGAACCAGAGACACAAATTCCAATTAAATTGAGCCACGTTTCAGCCACGATGGATTCAGACGATGACCCATGCCACCACAAGCACACCATCGACGCCAGCAGGAGCCCGCTCCTCAGCGCCATCATGTTTGCCGCGGGCATCTTTGGCAACGTCGCTGCCCTCGTGATCCTGGAAATCCGGCGGCGCAGGGACACGAGGACTGGATGCACGGGGCGGCGTGGCCTGTTTCATGTCCTCATCACATCGCTGGTGGTCACAGACTTGGCGGGAACCTGCCTGGTCAGCCCGCTCGTGCAGCTGTCGTATGCACGTAACACTACTCTGGTCGGGATGGCTCCCACGTCTGGCAGTGTGTGTTCATACTTTGGTGTCAGCATGACGTTCTTCAGCCTGGCCACTATGTCGCTCCTCTTCATCACAGCGTTAGAGAGATGCTTTGCCATTGGCTACCCTTACTTATACAGCCGGCATGTCACTAAGAAATGTGCGTACATCACAATCCCGCTGGTGTTTGTGTTATCTACATCATTCTGTCTGCTCCCTTTTGCGGAGTTCGGTAAATACGTACAATACTGCCCCGGCACGTGGTGCTTCATTGACATGAACCCAGTGGAGACAGTGCACCGAGTCTATGCCAACCTGTATGCCACCATTATGCTGGTGCTGGTGCTGGCCATTGTGGCGTGCAATGGTTTCGTGGTTTACCAGCTGTTCAGGATGTACCAACGTCGAAAGAGGAACGGCTCCATGATGGTGTCCACGAGATCCCACAGTGACCGCAGGGTGATGTCTATAGCCGAGGAGGTGGAGCACCTGATCCTGCTGGTCGTCATGACCATCATCTTCATCGTCTGCACTCTGCCCCTGGTGGTAAGATGACAGCAGATCACACACACACACAGACACACACACACACACACACACACACACAGGCATGCTGTAGCTTTGTTCTGCAGGTGACCTTGTTGCGTTAGTTTCTGGGGGTGAGCTGACTCCATGAGGACTGATTTAATGTGACAGCAGTTAACCAGCTTTGTTGCACTTTATTAGCTCCATGGGTCAGCTGGTCAATAGTTACAACAGAAATTGATTAAGCTCCGTGATTCTATGCGTGAGCAGATCCTGTCTGACCAGTGTGTTACCTTAAATCATGTACAGGTTCAATTCTTAACCTTTTACGAGTAGCAAAAACAAATCTGTTCATGTAAATCTGTTCCGCAAATTTGGTTTGTAAAGTAGACCAAATACAAATCAGGCGTATGCTTCAGTCGCTCTGTACACAATTTGCATTTTGTTCCTGTTTTTGCTTTATCTTCTACATCTGGAATCAGTAAAAACAATTAGTTTTTAAGCAATCTCCAAGCATCGAGATTCCAAGGCAGGGTGTTACAGAATCAGGACATCAGTTGCTCTGGATGGCGTTCAGGGTTTCTGCTCAAATAGCATCACGTGAACTTAACGTGACGTTCTCCGTTTTGTCACCTTTGGCAGCAGGCCAGGCAATAAGCGGTAATTGAAGGTGTGTTTTTCAATTTTAAAAGTTGAACCATGATTGAATAGGTGCTATCCAGCATTACTCACTGCATGGGAGTGTTACCACAGACACCCAGGCTGAAATACTGTAAATGCAAGGAGCTTCGTACAACTTCATCAGTAGATCGTGGACTCAGTCATCATTGTGTTGCCTCATTTAACAATAGATCATCAACTAACAAACATTTATTTAATGAAAATCTTTAAGACTTCAACTTCAACGCAGTGTTGAAGACAAGAACAGACAACATGAGCTCCATCACAGCTCAACAGGTAACAGTGAAATGTTGATTATGGCTGTAAACAGTTATTGTCATTGGAAATCATTCACAGATCATTTTCCTCATTAACTGATCACTTCTTTAGTCCATAAAAAGTTAGTAAATAGTGGAAAAGGTTTTTTTGCTTTGCCAAACTAATTGTCCAACACTCAATTATTCAGTGATTATAAAACAGAGGAAGACAGCACACGGGGAGATGTGATGGTTTTACTCAAACGAGTTCCTAATTGATTTCAGTTGACTGATCAGATAATTGATTATTGTATCTTGCTCATATCAGTAAAACAGTGGTACACTGCTTGACTTTAGAGCAGCACAGCAGATGTGCTTTCATTCGGTATCATTAAAATTAGCTGTGATCTTTCTAAAGGGTGGAAGAATAACATGTTTATATAACATTAAATATAAATGATGGTAAAGCGAATGTGAAATCTGACGGAGACATCTATACCCAGAGAGTGATACGTTGCTACGTAACATAAATCATGAGATATGACATCCTCTTCTCAGTCGGGCAGGTACAAGCTGATGGCTGCAAGATAAAACCGCTTTGTGCTTTTTGGTCTGAACAACAACAATCTCATCGGAAGTATGTCAAAGTGTCACCCAGAGCAGATGGAGTTTTTTTGTATGTAATCTGATGCATATCTTTGTGTCTCTGCACACTTGTGGCATTTAGTGGAAATGCAGCTATTCATTAATAATACAATAGACTATGGGCTGCTCTGATGCCAGGCTGGAGACAGGAAGCAGTGCATCAGGGCCTCTGTGACTCAGCTGCCTATTTTGATGCCTTATGTCGGCTCTAAACGCACACTGATTAAATATAGATTTAATCACTCTGTGGTAGTAAATGCTGTTAGCCTTCTTGGCTCTGTAAGCATTTAGTTATGTTAAGCTTTGTCTAAATGCACATATTCTTATGACAACAATGACTCCCATCAGCAACAGATGAGGTGTTTACTACAGTAGCTACAGTAAGTTAGCTGTATTAGCGAGACGAAACAAAACAAAACTGAATTGGAGTTAAATGATTATGTAAACAGCAAATCAGAACACATACCAGTAAAGGGTACAGCTAAGCCCCAAAGTATTCATCGTCATGCCAAATTTAGATTTACTGTGAGTTTTTATTTGACCAGTAGTTTTCTTCTGGCTGGAAATTATAAACAAGGACAGAAAGACATTGTGGTAGAGATGCAAATAATACTTTTACATTTTCTCTTAAAATGCCACCTCCAAAGTGATTCAGTGATCAGCAGCAAAGCCTTTATTTGCCACCACACCAATCAAGCTGCTCTTATATTGGCTAACAGTCTTCATGTCTGATTGGGATCTTGTTCCACTCCTCTGTGTGAGGACTCCAGCTCTTCTCACCATCACTCTGGTCTTTAGCTCCTCCACAGATTCTGGGAGAGTCCAGACCTGAATCCCTCAAACATATCCATATTGACCACTTTGGAGCATGTTTCAGATCACTGTTGGAAGGTCCAGTGCCGACCAAGGCCAAGTTGTTCAGCAGACGGCTGATGTTTTCCTCCTGAATCTTCATGTCGTCCTCTCTCCTCGTGATGCTGTTGACTTTGACGAGACTTTCTGCTCCATCGGCAGAAAAACACCGCCAAAGCATAACAGTCCCACTGCCATGTTTGACTTTGACGACGGTGTTAAACAGCTGAATACTTCTCTTTTCTTTCCTCCCCTTGTCCAAACAACTGGATTTTTATCCAACCATGGACCTGATGACCCACAGCTTTGAGTCGCTCGGACTCATCAGGATTGGCTTTGTGGTGATTCTTGGATTCTTCTTGTCTTCCTAGCAGCCCTTTGAGTTTTGTCACAGTCCTTGTACTTCCTGATGATGCTCTACGTGTGGCCACTGGCACCTGAAAACACCTACATATGGCTGCATCGCCTTTAAACTTCTCCTGAGGAGCCACAATGTGCAGCTCTCTTGGTTTCAGACATGTCTTGCAGACAAGTAACTGAATAGTGAATTACTGTATCAGCTGTTCCCAATTTATAGCATATTAGAACATGGTGACTTTTTTTTTAACCCTTGGGATGATGTTAAAGAATTTGTGACAGTTTCAAGGGAGAGGAATAAGTCTGGACATCAGATTTTTAGGAAAATGAAAAAAAAAAAAGAAAAAACAACAAACATAGAAAAAGTTCATATTAATCAGTAGCATCTCCAACAGAATGTCCTTTGTGACTTGTTTGTGTCGTATACTATAAATCAGCATTTGGCATGATTATGAATACTTTGGCTCTGAACTGAATGAGAACAAAACCGCCGTCAAACTTAAGTAGTATTTCAGGAGAAGACCGTCCTTCCTTCCACACAGAAGGCATCACACACAGCATTCTGTCTAATTGTAAGTGACCTTTGGAAAACCCAGGATTTGATCAGCAATGTCATCAGGAAGCAATTTGGATCGAGTCTGTAATGAGAAAATGGGGGTATCTGGCTCTGAACGTGTAATTATACATTTGACAACTCAAACATAACATCTGTGACTGATGACTACTGGGGGGACGGAGCCAATAATCATTTAGCATGAATGTTGGACTGCGATGACATTTGAACAACAGTGGCGCTCTCATATCAGAACATGCAACGAACCGATTAGCTAGGACCAGCAACTTTATCAGATGCCGTGGCTGCACACAGCCTTTGGCCTTCGTTTCATGATAAACACTGAAGGCGAGCTTCTGGGTAGCTGCTGCAAATGCTGGCTCAGAGCTCTGGTGTGACAGCGTGACTGAACTTGGACGTCTTTCCATTTAGTTTGGCAAGAAAAAAACAGTTTTGATATATGAGAGAGAAATTAGTGACTGTGGATGTAAATGTATACTCAACCTGCAAATGACTCATTAGCCAGCATGTCGTCCCAGTAGGACTCCTGGACAATCTGTTTGTGACCACATCAGTCCTGTAAGTGTCGCTTTGGACGTGAAATGGAAAATCGATAACTTTCCCAGCAGCGTGTGCACTTTACTGCAGACAGCGGTAATGGGCCAAAGTGCCATCTTATGCGCTGCTGCGTCTCGACTGTGGTTTGAGATGCAGACTTCTAACCTTCATCTGCGCAGTGACAGCCAAATTCTGCATCACAGTTAATTTAATAGCATCCACAACACAGACGCTGCGAAGACAGAAATTTAAGGAGCCGTGTTCTCACAAAAGGAGCTTTTTAGAGCATCAGTTGGTGCAGTCACTTAACATTTAAGGATGTTTTTTGGACATATAAACCCTTTACAAACAGGCCTTTTTATTGCTCTAACACTAGGAGATGTAGCATTAATCAAATGTTAGACTTACTGGACGTGGCTGTGATCACAGATCCCTCCATCTGGTAGCGGCTGCAGTGGAATGAAACCTGCAAAACAACTCATAAATAAAGTCATGTTTGATAATACATGACCACACTTTCACTTCTTAATGAATCACATTGTTTGCATCTATGGCAGTGGGATGGATTATTAACTTGTCCTCCACTGTACACCGTGTACCAGGTGCGTACTGTACAACAGGTAGAGGACGCTGGGATCAGCTTTCTTCGCTGCCTCATTAGGAGGTTGAATAAAACCGATGACTCGAGTAGAGCGAGGTCAGACAAGGACGGACAGCAAGGAGGTGAAGGGAAACTAATGGAGCTCCAGCAGATCATATCTCCACCACTGTGATGTCAGCGGCTCTCAGAAGTCCAGTCAGGGTTTCTTGTCAATATCAAGGGGTGGCTTTTACTTGCCAGGGAATGTCCGGAATAGATGATGCCTCGTCAAGATGTATTGATGGGTTTAAGTTCATCGCATCCACTCGCTAGGATCACTGCAGGCATTACTGAAAAGGTCCTAAAGCACAGACAGCCCCAGTTCCTTTCCCTTTTCTTTCTACCCACTCATGTTGACACTGGTAGTTCTATTTATACGCTGTCTTTTTGCATCTTCATGTCTGTCCCGGCTATTATCCTGCTTTATCTTCCTTCATCAGATATCCAGTGACAGGCAGCAGGCATTTACCAGTGCAGGCAGAAGCCCTCCTCACATCAC